TGAAATCATAGTACGCTTTCATTAGTAATATAATTTTGAGAGAAAATATAATTAAATATCCAAGGTTTATATATTTATTATTTTGTTTTTTTTATTTATATATAATTAAATATCCAAGGTTTATATATTTATTTTTTTTTATTTATAGACTTTGTGGCATTCAATTGTGTTGTGGACGAAAGGGATTTTTTGGCATTCAATCATATTGTGAGGGGAGATAGACTTTATGCCAGAGGAATGATGATAATATACGCATTGTGCTGAAAAGAAATATTCTCCTGTGACTCTTTTCGCAGCCAGAGGAGTGATAATAAGATGGGAGAATGATCATAAAGACTTAAAAGAATAAATAAGGACAGCTAGGTGTCCGATAAAAATTTTTATAAAATAAATTGTACATATTAATTTTAATAATTGTAAATAGAAATCTAAATTACAAACTAATTATTATATTTATAATTTAAGTATCATATTTTTTAAATTTGTAATTATTTAAATTGATATTTATAAATAATTTTTTTAAAAATGTATCAAGGACTTAATTGTTATTCCTTCCATTAAAAATATAAGTTATTTTTTAAAAAATTAAATATTAAAAAATATAAAGTGCTTTTAATTTTTTAAGTGTAATCATTGCTTTTTTAAAAAGAGTGTTCCTATTGATAATAATTTTATATTTACTATAGAGTATTTAATAGAAGTAAATATAAAAAGATAGGATAATATCTTTATATTTTTAAATGAAGGGAGTATTTAATTTCTTTTTTTGATACTTAACTGTCATCCCCCTAATAATATGCTCGTTGTGCTGAAAAGAAGAAACACGGAGAACATTAATAAAGGTCTCCAAAAAGAAATTGTCGATATTTACTTATTTAAAATTCTTATTAATTATTAAATTCTTTTGAAGATATTTTATTGATATTCTCCAAAAAAAAAAAGATATACATGCTTAATCAGAGACCAGGAGGTACAATCCATGAAAGATTCTTAATTAATAATCCAACTAATATAGAATATATGCTTATATCTTGGCTCTGCTTTGAAAACTCTAGCGTACAAGACAGGACACCTTATTAGCTTCATCAGAATCAAAGTCTTGTTGTTCCTCTAGAGGTTCCATCTGCTTCTGAAAAGCTAATAATTCAAATCTCTCAGAACATTTCATCAAAAAAATGATCTTACGTATATACAGTTCCCAAACATGATCTTAGACAAATGTTTCATAATATTAATTAACATAAAACGCAGAGTGTTACATGATTAATAATGATTCAGCATTTTTAGTTTACAGCAGAGATATGAAAAGAATTATTAGTATCAGACATGATGGTGACAAGCAAATTAGTACAAAACTGAGAGGAGAATCAGAATAAGAATCAAGTCCTGCTCTTTTTTTTTTTAATTTATTTATTTTCTCCATCAGTAAGTAAGTACTACAGAAACAGAATCTATCTGCATGCAAAGATCATCGCAGATCGATATGTCAATTTCCCAGATGTTGAATTTTATCTGACACCACCATTTCTACAAGAAACCTGATCGTGTCGTACGCTTTTGTCCCTTAAATTTTAACATTATTTAGTTCGTCGAGTTCAATGTCACCTGTATATGCCCATGAATCACAAGCGCAGGCCAATATGATGTCAGTTATATATATATATATATATATATTAAATTATTAATTAGTATGCAGAAGAACACATTGAATGGAGAGAGTTATGGCCTGTTTGATTGTGTTCTTGTTTTTGTTTTAAAAAGCGACCTTATAATTTAGTTTTTAGAATTATTTTTTTAAATAAAACAAAATGAAAATCTGTTTAATTATGTTTGTTTAAAAATAATTTTATAATAAAAAATTGGCTGATAGTGACTATTGTTAGCGGCTAATGATATCGATTTATAATAACAATTGGGTTAAGTTAATTATAGTTTTTTAATAATTAAATGTAATGTATTTTGTTTTTAAAAAAAATGAGAACTTTTTTTTTGAAACATTTAAATCTAAAACACTTGTTTAAATGAGATTTTAACCTTTTTTATTTTGAAAAACAGATATCAAACAAGGCATAAATATAATATGTGAATTCATACACAAATACGTTTTCTTATGTCGCTCTCAAAAATAATCTGGATCTATGTTTTCTTGGTCATCAATTGCTTTAATTTAAAAGTAATGTTATAGGAACCAGATTGGCATGAATCAATTAGAGCATTGGTTCACTAATATATGATCACGCAATGACTAATTTGGTTCAGTTCTGAGAACAATGCTTAAAAGAAAGATGAGTTGACTAAATTGACATGTAAAGTCTATTGACATAATATAGAATTATTTTTTTTATAGCCCACCCGTTTCACCGAAACTTTACCTCAACTACATCCGGATTCGATCTACGGCACGCACCTAGCATGGTAGGTGAGTCTTTCAGTGAAAATTTTTTATATACACAAGGTTCGAATTCAAAATCTTACTTAAATAAAATCGAGCTACTTACTATTCGGACCAACTCCCGTTGGTAATATAGAATTATTAGTTAAGTTAGAACAATTCTATACGTTAATTAATACTATGAACTATTAGCTTGGTATATAAATACAAGTCACCAAACAAAGTACAAAATTAATTCATTATTTATGAGAACTAAAATTTATTTTCTGCTCACGGAGGAGACATTTTCCATTTTTTGTGAATGTGGGTACGCACGAAGTACCAATAATGGTGGACATTTATAATTCGAAGCACGCGAAGTTGCATATTCAGATAAAATTAATGCTGACCCAAAGCCATGAATATTTCAATCTAGTTACATTAATTTGTTCATAATGATCAAAGTTGTTACCAGCTTTTCATTTACAAATAGATATACAGGTTCAATAGATATTTCACATTTGAACAGAAAATGAAAATGCCCCTTAGGACAATTTTCTTGTTCTTGCATTTTTTTTATTTATTCATGAAAATCATATCCTCGAGAACTTCCTTCAATCTTATATTGTTTATATAAAGTCATTTTCGTGAAGAAATTGATTTTTTTTATAAGTCATTAAAAAAATAGACTATTTTTTTCATAGTTTTTTCCTTTCACAAATTTCTATAAGCAGAGTTAGTGGTTGCATATAAAAGAGACAGTATTTCTATAGATAATGCATTTAATATAAGAATAAATTAAAAAATGTCTTTTTTAAAAAAATATTAATTATTTAACCGCCTCTTTATTTTTAGAATTAATTAAAAATGATTTCTATATTGAACTAAAAAGTATTCTTTCTTATTTTTACCTGGAAACTAAAAAGTATACTCCCACTAGTCCATAATATAAAACTAAATTTACAAGCTTCTTTTAATCTAAATATAAGATGAAATTAGAGTAATTAATGTTTTCTTTAATTTTACCTCTTATTTACTCCCTTTGTTAAAAAAAATAAAATATTTTTAATCAAATATCACATTTCAATAAAATAATTAATTATATTTAAACTAACTTTATCTTTTTATATTTATCCCATTTAATAAGGTATTTTATCATAAAATAAATATAAAGTGATTTATTCAATAATAACACTTTTAAAAAAAGAACAATGATTGCACATTGAAATGCCTTGCATTTTTAAATATTCAACCTCTCAAAAAATGCGTTACATTTATTAATGGAGAAAGTATTATTTATCATTTAAATTTCTAAACAATAATTTACTGTAATCATTAATTACAAAAAAGTATAAAATTAAAAAGTTACAAATTCTTTTACAATTTCAAAATTTCAAGATTAGAGCAAACTTTTCTTAAGAAATATAAAGCTTGTAAACTTCATCTTATATCAAAGATCGGAATAGTATATGTTTATGTGATAGCTCTCTTCTTAGTTATTGAACTTAATAGCTCTACACAGGAAAAAATACAACTCGTACTACTTAACAAGGACAAGAATTACAAATCTCATCAGTTATGTAAAGGCCTCATAGGTAACTAATCTATAACTAGTTACATAAATTCTCATTAAATTCAACTCATCTAAAAAAGAAAAATATACCCTAATTCTGTTTGGGTCATAGGTGTGATTTCTCAGTAGTCTATCCAAGTTGACCATTTAATTCGGCTACTTTCAGATACAATTACTTTCAGATACAATTGTAAAAAGGTGAAACGTTGAGCAGTGGCTTGATGCGTAACATGACTGATATCACACCTTCCATTTCAAGAAATTGGCATATACAGTAATGCTCTTCACTTTCTCTAGCTCATACAGCTTCCATAATAGGATCAGATCAAATTCTATACATATACTCAAAGAGAGAACACAGCACTTTCACAAACTCACTGTTCCACAGAATGTAGGAGATGATGATCCTGATATGCCAATTCTATAACCATATTTCTATTTCCCAACAGAAACAAAAGCAACATCCCAAAAGAGTCAACATGAGATTTCTTCGCCCTTTTCACCCATTGCGAGTCATTTCACTCCACTAGAGACTACAGAGCAAGGCAATCAGAATAACTTATTACAGCTAACATTCAACCAACAGATTAGCTGCCTCACCTTTTTTATTTTTATTTTTTCAAATAAGAAAATCACTGCTCCAACTTTCCAGTTTCAACCACCAATGATTCTTATAATTACAAGTAACAGTCAAGTAATGACGCTAAAGTCTGAGATTAAGACCTTAAAAGAGTTTATCTTTTGTACATGTAAAGATGCAAGGACTGAACCAAAATGGGACCTCACAAATATTCCTGACTCCATTATTATCCGACCCATCTTATCAAAATTATTGTATATATTCACTGATGAAGAGACTGAGCTTCTTCATCTACAATGTAACATTACATTATCATGCTTATCCCTTCCATCCCTGCTTGAAATCAGAACAAGATGAAGCAAACAAAGCAGATGTCGCCAGCAATAACATTGTCGTTACATTAAAAAAGAAGGCCAAAACAGGGAGATTTCAGATACAATACAAAGCATGGGGGTGATGTTATGGTACCAGCAAGATGAAAACATTAAATGGATCAAAGATTCATTCATAGTCCTATCCCAAAATTACCACATCAGATATGATCAGAAAAGGCAACAACACAAGATTTGAGGGCTTCAAAATGCCAACTGCACAACATTCTCTTAAATTTGATCTGTCATTGAATATGTAGAGCTGAAAGAATGCAATGGAAACCTGAGCTAGAGCTACCCAAGGTGACAGATTTTTCCTTTCCTGGTAAACCTTATCAAGACAAGATTGATTTGATTTGAGTCTGAAAGCCCCATTCTACAATTTTTCCCTAAGAATCAAATCCCAACCCATCTTTTCAAAAATTACAGGAAGTCGTTTTATGATTAAAAAGGAAAATAAAAGAAAAGAAAAGAAAACAAAGATAACTAAGAAGAAAGCGGGCGAGGTGGAGGTAGTAATTGATGAAGATTCTGATGAACTGGGTTCTGTTGTCGAATTCCCGGATTTATAAAAGGATGCCCTAACAATCTCGTCGCCGTCCACCTCCGTGACGGATCTCTCTGCAGACAGCGCGATATAAAATCCCTAAACTCACTCGACGCCGTCGCCGGCGCCTCCGGCGGCTGAGACATACAAATCGCACACATCAAACTGGCCCAATCGCCTTGCCTTCCCACCGCAAAGGGAAACCTACCCACGTAAAATTCCAGTATGCTCACTCCAAGGCTCCATATATCGCCAGCATACGCATCGTACTGTCCATCGTTGATGTCGGTATTAATTCTCTCGGGGCTCATATAAGCGATCGTCCCCACCGATGAATTACACGGATCCATGGTTTGCGCAAGAATCCGACCCACCCCGAAGTCCGCAATCTTGACTTGCTTGCGCGAGTTGATCAGAAGATTCGACGGCTTGATGTCTCGGTGAACGATGTGGCGGCGATGGAGGTAAGCGAGGCCACGGAGAATCTGACGAGCTAGATCTGCGAGGTGCTGCTCGTCGGGGATGTGTTTCCCTTCCAAGGACCCACCGTCCATGAACTCGAGAAGCACTTGGATTTCAGCGTTGTGATCATACATGTCGTAACACTTGACCACGTTCGGGTCATCCACGTCGCGAAGGATCTGGACTTCGCGGTGGATCTGTCGGCGCACGGAGTCTTCGTGATGACCATATATAACCTTCAGCGCAAAAACCCGACCAGTAGGTCGGTGAATGACCTTGTAGACTGTCCCGCCGCTCCCGCTACCGATTCTGTTGAGCCGTTCAAGCTCGGAGAAGGGGATAAGCTGGTGAACTGGGCCGGCATGGTGACTCGTCGAGGGCGCCGAGTTGGAAGGGGGAAGAGGAAGAGGCACCGCCCTCGAATGGTCTCGCGGCGGCAACGGCAAGGTTAGGTCTTTACGGCGACCTCCCTTACGGTCACGGTTGGAAGCTCCGGTGCCCGGCGGTGGCTGACTTGGCCTCATAATTTCTCAATGAAAGAGTATGGGAAAAATCCGAGTGAAGTACGATGAGATTTGAAAAAAAAAATGGAAAGTATAAATCCCTTTAAATATCAAATCTGTTTCTTCAAGAGAGAGATGAAGGAACTCATTCGGTGCTGGACTACATACAAATAGTCCATGACAGAGGATAGAGAAGGTTCCGAGAAGACGGAAACAGAGGAAACAGAAACAAGAAGATATATAGAAAATGGGTACGTTCTGTAAAATGCGAGGGCCAGTTTCAGGGAGAGAAAGTAAGAGGGAGAGGGAGAGAGAGATAGATTGATATAACAATGTGAGGAGAAGAGGTTGCTATCAAAAGAGGGAATCGATGTTTAAAAAGGGCGAGGAGTGTCCACGCACCTAGAGGGTCTGTGAAGCGCGTGGACCAATCAGATTGCACCAGCTGCACTTGAGTATCACGGTGTAGATTGTGATCTTAGTAAATGCATGTATATGATCTGAGCACTCCACTCCAGGACATTTGCATCCCGTGGCAAGTTTTTTAAAAAAGTATGTGGGCCCCGCGATGGAATGCGTTTTTCCCACTGCTTCAAGGTGCAGCGTAGATCGCTGCATTCTCGCAGGATCTGATTTTACGTTTTACCCCCTTGTCTACATTAAAATGCCCAAAAAGTTCAAACTCAATTGTACGGAGAGCTGTGATCCTCACCAGTGATCCAATCAAATGCACTCATTTATTAGATTATCCTGGTGGCACACAAATCTCCCCATTTTTAATTAGAAACATCTTTATTTGAGTTCTTGGTATTCAATTTAGATAATATATTTATTTATTTAAAATAAATGATTATAAAATTTTTTGGAAAACTTAGCGGAAATGACACTTCGGAAAAAGGTCATTTAAAAATATTGATTTGGAGCTGATTGAATCTCAATTGAAAATCATGGAAGCTGAATTGAAAATAGTTTCTATATATTTGTTATTATTTCTCCCATAAAATCCAAATGTATCATTTAAAAAAAATGGTGAGATAAATTTACAAAACTTATCTAGGTTAACAAAGATTTCTTCAGCTAAAATATAATTTACAAAAAAAATTATAAATTTCCAATTAACAAAATATGTATTTATTTCAGCCAAAAAAAGTAAAAAATATATATTTACTTTTATTGATAAAATTTTTTTGTAAGATTAAAATAAATGTTTGCAAATTATTAAACCAAGATTTGTTAATACATTATTTTTTGATTATGAAAGAACGGCAATGATGCTTTTAAGGTAATGTTTCCATCTTAATCTTAGCATTATACCATAATATCCCTAGTACCTAAAAAATGAGTTTAATTTTAGACATTTTATTAATTGTAATAATGGGTACTTAGTAAATATATAATATTATATAACCCCACTTACTAATTTAAATACACTAATTTAAATGATGAAGATTATTACTATCTCGATAATTTATTAATAATTTATAATATTTATTCCTATCTCAATCTGAATTTTATAGTAATGATGGAGATTATTACTAATTTATTATAATTAAAGGCATAGAATAAATTAATGACCATAAAATGGGAGAGAAACAGAAAGAAAAGCAATGGGTGTAACTATGGGCGTGTCAAAGGTATTAGCTTTTTATTTTTCTTTTAATCTTTCCAAAAAAGACTGTTTCTGGCTTTTTTAAATACACTAAAAGAGAGAGACACTAGGCCTGCTGTGGGGCATGTATTGTATCGGACTATTTGAGACACATCCAAGTTGAAAAGGCTTTTTATATTTATATTTATATTTATATTTTTTATTTTTTTCATTTTTGATTAAAAATATATTACGCACATATTTTTAAATAAAAATGGAATGCATGATTTTTTGTTAATTTTGTAAAAATGTTATAGACTTTTATGTTATTCTTAAAATCAATATAAATCTTCCTTATAGTTATAAAATTAATTATGAATAATTTTTATGAGATTTATTTAGATTATAAAATGCTCCCTCTAAACCACATTATAAAATATCTTCTACAAGTCTTACTTGATTTAAGATATAAAGTATTAAATAATTTTTATAATTATTTTTTAACTATACTCTCACTTTATTTATTACTTTTTTTAAAAAATAATACATTAAAATTTTAATTATCATTATTAAAATACTTATATAGAGTATTTAATGAAGGTAAAATTAAAAAGATGTAATTTTTTTAAGAAATTGAGATTTCAACTAACATTTTTTATAAAGTGTGAATTTATTATTAATGTCTTATATTTTAGCCAAGAGGAAGTAATATTTTTTATTTTTGAGAAAAATAGGTGTATTTTAAAATACAAAAATGAGATATGTGCAATTTTAGTTAAGTTGAAGTGAAATTTGTGCAATTACCGATTATATGATTGGAATGAGAAAAAGAATTTGAGTTTTATAAATAAAAAAATAGGCTGAAAAAAGTTACTTCTTACTGAGTCCAATGTTAAATACCATTCCTTTCCTCTTTTATTGTTCATTTAGATTTTTTATTAACTTCATTAATATTAATATAAAAAAATATAAAATATAAAAATATATAAAATTCTAAACATATCTCTATATAAAAAATTTAAAATATAATATAATATAATTTTTTTCTTTCATACAAAATAATTTTAATATTAATATAAAAAATAAAAAATATAAAAATATATAAAATTCTAAACATATCTCTATATAACAAATTTAAAATGTAATATAATATAATTTTTTTCTTTCATACAAAATAATTTTTAATATTATTTAAAAAGCCGTGCTGTATTATGATTTTTAAATAAAATTACATGAACATTTTAAAACATGCATTATAAATGGTATTGAAGAGAGTATTAAATACTTGTATAAAAGGAAGAGAAATTTGAAAAATTTCAATAAAATGAAAATGTTAGTAGTTTTAAAAATACGAAATATGGTCAATTTAATGTTTTCTTAAAAAAGAATATGTCTTTCAAATTGTCCATATTCCCAAAGTCGTTGAATTTATCTTAGCAAAAGTTGATTGTGAAAATGAACTATCATGAAGCCCCAACCATAGAGAGTCAGCCCAGGAATTTCTCAGTTCTTGTCTTTTTTTTTTATTTTAATAAATACTCAGTTCTTGTCTTAGCCTTAGCCTTAGCCTTAGCCTTATATGAATGACGAATCTTTTTCTTGTCCATTTTTCTATTTTCATACCAAGTAACAAAGCTATCAAAAAAACAAAGGAAAAAAGTTAAATATTTTTCTGATTGTTTTTGTTAGCATACATGCATATGCATTTATTTATGTTATTTATTAAAAGGGGAATGCCAGCAACTTGCTTTACTCTCAATTCTTAAATGTCAAAAAATTCAAATGTAACAAAATATAATAAAATTAAAAAAATCTCAAATGTCAACTGAGAAAACTAAAATTCAATAATTTTCAATATAATAAAATATAATAGTTAACTTATGAGAACATTCAAATCCTGAAAACCATTAAACCTAAAGAAGAAAAACGTTGGAAACAAAAGTGTTTTAGTTGTTTTCAAATATTTATTATTAATGTGACTAAATTTAAAAATAAAAATATCTCTCACTCATTATTTATTTTAAAATAAAATACTTAATCACTAGTAATAGTCGTTAGATTGGGTTTAAAGTAAAGTATTGGATTTGACTCTTGATAATAGAGGAAATTACCTGCAAGGACTTCTTCCATTTTGAGACCTTACACAACTCAAATCTAAATTAATTGATGATACTAAATATTGGATTATTCTTATAGAAATGAAATACATGATTGTTTCCCAAAAAAAAATATTAGTTTCTCCTTGTTCAAAACAATACAATTTTTTTATTTTTGCAAAATATATATCCATATTATAGTAATATAAAAATAAATAAGAGAATATACAAACCGTAAATCACAAAAAAAATATCCTTAATTTTTTTTTAATATGACAAAGGTCTTCTTAAAATCAATATCGTTTTTTTTTTTGGTCATTTCAACAATACCCGTTACAAATGTTATATATATTACTTGATCTTTGTGAGAAGCTCTGATACAATTTTAAAAATGAAATAAAATAAAAATCAATGCAATTTAATAAAAAGTAGAAAAAATCCATTAAACTTATTTTTTTAATTTTAAAATACATATCTGTTTGTTTTAAAAATTTATAAGAAATATTTATAATGTCAATAAGAATTAATAGAAAGCATGTTGATTTGAATACAATAATAATCATATCTAGCACACAATGGTGAGAAAAAGCTCTAGATTATATGAACTAAAACACACCATCTTACTTTATGTGAAGTTTAATTCACTCCATATTTTATTAGAGAATCTAACTAGAAATATTACAAATAAGGAGAAATATATTTTTGATCCCCGAACTTTTTCTCAATTATTGTTCCAGTTTCTAAATTTTGACTTAAAATAACTCAATGTTTATAATTTATTGATTGGAACAACTCAATCCTTATATTTATATATATATATATATATATTTAGTTCAATACAACTTAGTTCATAAAATTTCTTAACTCAATAAAGTACAAGAACTAAGTTATGCTCCCTCAAAAAATAAAATACCCTTTTTTGAGGGTTTAGGTGTTTAAAAATGAGTCACTTTTTATTTATTTAAAATAAAAAACTCTATTAAATAAGAGTAAATATGAAAAGAAGGTGTTAATTTGGAGATAACTAACTATTTTATCAGGGAGTGCGATTCGGTTAAAAATACTTTATATTTTTAAATAAGAGAGAGTTTTAAATCAAAATTCAAGAACTAAATTGATACTTGTGAGAAAGTTTAGGGTCTAAAAATTATATTGTCCTTACAAATAACAAAACAAATATAAAGTTATAATCTAAGTAATTTTTTTTATTGTACACATGTATTTTTATGGAAGGTAATCATGTTCGAAGTATGATCAGATACTAAATATAATAAATAGTTCTTTTAATAAAAATTTAAATCTCAGTTCATTATTACAATTAATCCTTATCATTAAATTTACCTGTGTTGGTCAGTGAATATATATATTTTTTTTTTGGTGATGAAGCACCACAAAAATAATTGTCAACGTGTGGTTTATGAATTTGGTAGGGTTGCTACAAGACAAGAGTGAACCTTTGATTTGGTTTCTTTTTTTTTTTTTCCCTCATACTTTTCTTTTTAAATTCCATTGCCTTGCTTGATTTGCTCTTATCAAGTACATATAAATATATTATGGCGTCTCAAAGTTTTTCAACCCTCCAAAAAGGCAAAGAAAAAGAAAAGGGCAAACAATATTGGTTGAATTGAATCATTCTTTACTCAGTTATAAGGAAGAGTCAATCTGAATTGGAACCATTTTATGTGTTCATCTCAGAGCCAACCAAAATGGAAGCTTTCTTAATTATTCCCCAATTATAAAATTTGCCATTAGGACTGTTTCGTTGCATCTTCGTGCCATGTTTTTTACACATTACCCGCTGGACAAGCAAATCAATCTTAGCATGCCAAAGAAAATGACACTTCCCCACCAGATATGGAGGATATATAATGACGATAATTTATTAACTCAGCCTGACGTCAATAATAAGGATGGCTAGACATTAAATAATGGGTTGAACACCCTTTTTCTCTCTACTTCTTCTTTTTTTTTTTTTTTTAAGAGCATTGATCACGTTATTAGAGTGATACAATTTTTTCCAAAATAATTTTTATCAAGAGTAAAATTATGTTTTTGTCATAGACTCGATATCTTTTTCATAGTCTTTTGATTTGAAATAGTTGTGAAGTTTACAAAAAACGACAATAAGATATTTTGATTCATTTTGCAGTTAAAATTAGGTCTTGTTTCTGTCACTATCACTTTTAGCCCTTTTGACTCACATTAGATGGTTAAAATGAATCAAAATGTTTTATTATCTCTTTGTGTGGGCTTCACAATTATTTCACATTAACAGATAATGAAGAAGATGTCGAGTTTCTAAAAAAAAGATGATTTTATTACTAAAAAAATTATTTAAGAAAAAAATGATCTTTAACCTTTAAATAATTAGTTGGAATTTGATTTTCAACTTTTGTACTCATTTTGACAATTTTATAGGTACCTCCTTTAGATCATGATATAGGACATTTTTTTAAAATGACTCACTCAATTTAAAATATAAGACATTAAATAGATTTTATATATTTTTTCAAATATACATTTACTTTATTGCATTTAACTTATGATAGTGTTTTGAATAGTTTAAATATTTTATTTATTTCATTTAATCGTATGATTCAAAATATGTTAAAAAACTATAGAAAATCAAGATTTTGAAATTGAAAAGAGTGTATTGTTTTGAGATTGTAGGTAGGGCCTCGAAAAATTGTTATTTCAATATGTTTTCTCAAAAAAAAATATTATCATTTTATATTTATACAATCTCAAATATAAAACCTCAAACGTACGCAACCGAAACCTCTTTCATATTAATTTTCTCATTTAGTCCCAAATTGTGAATTCCCTCTTTTATATTAATTTTCTCAGTTGGTCCCAAAGTGTGAATTCCCTCTTTTTTATTAATTTTTCTTATTTGCTCCCAAAGTGTGAATTCCCAAATATTTTTGGTCCCTTATATGTCTTTAATTCTCTGGTTTTGCTTTGCTTGAACCCAAGTCAAACGTCTTCCTCTTTTTACTTCTTCCTCTGCGTTCACACTTGACATCCCATTTGAAAAATCTGATGAAAAACCATTTCAAAGCATACGACTTTTAGTTTTACGTTTAATCCTTCAAAATAGATCATCTTCCTTAAGTACTGAGAGCAAAGAATAAATCTCTTTCAATTAAATTATTATATATATAAGAGTTGGGATTAAAATTCTCAACTACTTTTTTTAAAAATGATGAGAACTTCTATCACTTATGTAAATCTCTTCATCTCATGGCATACTAAAGACTTTTGCTTCACCTTTTATTTCATTCGTCCACCACAGCTAATGGTTGGCATCGCTCTATATTCAATGAAACGGTGCATTTTCATATGAATTACTCCCACTATTCAATAAATGTTATTAGGTATTTAAAACTGAATTACACATTCAATGAGTCATTAATTGTTTTGGAAATTACATGCTGTCTCTATATTTATTTTTATTTAATAGAATGTTTTAATTAAAAAATTAGGAAAAATATATTTTTTATCCTTGCACTTTTTTTAGTGTTTTGAATCCCTACACTTTCATTTTTTGATATTCTAAATCTTTAAATGAATAAAGTATAGGAACATTGGACGAACATAAGACACCAAAAAATGAAAATGTATGGACCAAAAATATTAAAAAAAATGTAAAAACATATAACAAAATACAAGTAAAGTGTAAGAACTAAAATGTATGTTTTTCCTAAAAATATTTATTAATTACACCCTTAATTAAAAATATTTTTTAAAAAATTTATTAATTATATATTAAAAGATCTGAAATACTTTATATTTTTTAACATAATAGTACTTTTAAAAAATATCTTATAATTTTAAATGAATAAAATAAAAATTACAGGCCTTTTCAATCTGAGCCATTAGATGAATCAAACGACTATGAAGAGGTTAAAATTCCGTAAGCTTCAAGGGATTTCAGTATTTTCCCACCTAAAACCTAACCGTTCATTTTCAATTTCATACAATCCAAGAGAGCAAGACGATTGCTTGCATACAATATTGGATGATTGAAATATTCCTTTCAACTTTTATTTTATTATATTCTGTGCCTTTACTTTTTCTTTAACTCAGAGTCAACTTTCTGCCCAAGAAAAAAATAAAAACTCAAGTCAACTTCTTTCGTCCTTTTCCGCTGTGTTCACACTCCTGATCCCATTTGAAAAATCATTTAAAATACCATTTCAAAGGGTATGACTTTTTCATTTAATAACTTCAAAGTTTTTCTCAAGCTTTTGCTCCATCTCCATCGGTCCTCCAAGGTTCAAAATGGCATTATATATTCAATGAAACTGCACTTTTTCATATGAAATAATAATGGCTTTTCAACTAACATGTAGCTCAACTTGTTAGAAGCTTTAATATGTAATTGTCTTTAATATTGAGAGGGCTTATTACCGTTGTGGTTTGACCTGGCCCAATCAGGATGAGATGGGGTTTGAAGGGCTCTGGATGCCAGGCACACATGAAAACAAATGGCTTTTCAATCTGAATCTTAAGATAAATCTAACGACTAAGATGAGGTTGAAATTCCACATAGTTCAAGGGATTTCAATACTCTCAAATAAAATCCAAAAGGGCAACACGACACTTGAATGAAATGGAGGAATAAGATCTTTGGACCGAACAAAACTGAAATCCCTTGAACGGTATGAAGTCTGGATCCCTGAGATGAAGGTTGAAATAAATCTAACAACGAATATTCTTCCTGACTCCACTCAAGCAACTAAAACAAATTTTAATTTGAAAACAAGCATTTATTGTATTTCCACGTTCTACCAACAGCTTCAGTCACCGAAATATACAGTGTAACATATTTGTATTCACATAGTTCTTCAATATACAAGGGTATCACTGCTAAAATAATGTACATGCAAAGGGCATGTGATTAAGTTGCCAAGAAGCCTGCATAGGTTGACCTTCTTTCCTTAGGTCCAGTCAGACTCAGGTTCCGACGTATGGCCCACGAATTGAGACTGGTGGGCCAGATGAATATCTCCATTCTCCACAAGCTAAGCATCTATCTATCTCAACCCTGTTTTCAAGTGTACAGAATTTGCAAGACCACATCTTGGACTTGACAAGCCTTTGTGCTCCACAGGCTTCACACATAAGGGCAATTGGCTGCAACAAACCGAGACATCATCGCACTTTAGTTCTGTCAATGCAATGAAAGTATATAAAGAGACCCAGCATTCATGAACATGCATTAGCTGATTTATAGAGATATTTCAACAGAGGAGCTGTTACTAATAACAAAAATCATATAAATGCCATGCTTTATGGAACAAAATTTCAGAGGTCAAACTCAGAAGATAGGTAATTTATGCTTAGCGATGAGCAAACTTTGGCGTTGAACTTGAACTACAACTGATTTGATCAATATGATGGTGTGGGTGGAGAGAGGGGGGAAGACTAGAAAAAATGCTCAGCAACTTTCATGTCCTATTATGTTTTAGGGCAAGCATCGTTTATCTGAGTCTCCCTTGCATTTCTATTCAGTCTTTCAGCACTACATTATAAAAATAGAAAAGAAAGAGATAACCCTAAAGAAATAAATTTGTGCAATGAGTTCTTTTATATGTTGTTTGGACACAATTGCAACATATAGAACTCGAGTCTCCACATCAGAAGGATGAATTCTGATGCGGGGCCTTCAAGAACCTTCAGTTCTAGCTGCCTTTGAGGGCGTGGTTCTAAGTTCTTATAATCAATTATTTTCATTTTTTTCATCAGACAAAAATAGGCCAATCAAGTAATAGCCTCCAAGAAAAAACCTGCATCTGTTCACTTGTTTCCCACCAATAAACAGCTTACATCTTTGCAAGTATTCCATCATTAATGCATGTACTCAAGTTTCACAAGGACCAGACAGATTTATCATATGTTGTGACTGGCCAAAAGCCAAGCCCCAGCTGTTTATTTGCATGATCAGGGTGCAGGTGGGGGAAAAAATCCAAATGATAAAGTCAACATTTTTGTTATCGAGCAGACAGCAATGCAGCAGAAATGTTAAGCACAAAAATAAATTTAAAAAAAAAAAACCTCCAACTTAAAACCATCAATACAATATTCCAACAACTTTACAGAACACATATAAACACATTGTACCTCATTTAATAAGGTGCAAGTATTGCACTGCCATTCTGCTCCACCATCTACTGTTTCTCCACCCACATTAGATTGAATGGAACTATCATCAGAATTCAAGGACATTCTGTGCCTCCCAGAAGGTCCAATCAAACTCATATTCTCATGAACGTGTGTTTCACCATCTGCAGACTTTGATCCACACCATATGTCATCATGCAGTCTCCTTTCTGCAGCCATAGCAGCAGCTTGAATTGGACTCAAAGCTGACTTAATGCTGTTGTCACCACCTAAACGCTGAGGTCCAGAAGGCAATAAAACCCCACGGTGTGCTCGGCTTTCAGCTGCAGCCAATGCAGCCTGGCGAACTGATGGCAGAGGTGGTTGACGGGAGAATCCACCCAAACGTCTCCCAGGAAGGTCAAATCCTTGCCCAGTACCACTGATCCCTTTGGCCATCAGATCTTCACATTCCTACAGGCAAGTGGAATCTGCATGAAGCACACAAAAGTGTCTAGGACCAAATATTAAGAGATAAGTATATGAGTTACCCAGTGATTTGTGTTAAGTTACTAATAATTCATGGAACCAAACACTTTTTTGTTGACCTCAACTATACACAATTTTTTATGACACAACGTAACAACAACCTCAGCACCAACGTGCCTCCCCCAACTTCTCTTGTAGCTTGGGTTTGTGGATGCATCCTAAGCAAAATGGGCTTATTTATATGCTATATAGAGGAAGCTAAAATCCTAGCATTTACAGCAGCAACAAATGTATTATATTGCCATAGATACTTGATATCTTTATTGAAATAAAACTTCAAAATAAAGGTAAAAACATATCCTTACAATTACAAAGCACATGTAATATTAGCACCATATGTACTATTATAGACTGCAGCAGTTGTGATTTATGACTTCTAACTGTTCTTTTATTTTATCAATTTTTTCAAAAGAAAAATAAAGTTTATTAATAGGAAGACAAGAGGACGAAAACAGAAGACAAGAGATCTCCTCAGTCAAAAGAGGAAATAAGACTCTTCCTCTCCAAAAGCTTTCCATTCCCTTTGTAAATCTATGAGCAACATCCACAAGAGACCAGAAAAATAATCCTTTCCCAAAGAAGATGACATGTAATTTCACCATACACAGCACAGGGAACATATTTTTTAGAAAGAGCACAAAGCATTAGTTACCTTCCTGATTTCATCCAAAAGGTTATAAAACTGAGCATTGTGAGGACCATGTTCATTATGGCAAAGTTCATGTAGCATAGTATCAACAATCTGCTCATAAGGGAAGAAATCCCATTCACGGTCAGGCCGCCGCAATCTTAGCTTTACCTCTGCACCCAGTCCTATATTCAGACCTTGAAGAGATGGATTGGCAGGACTGCATTCTAATGTTTTAGACAGCAAGAACTAATATGAAAGTGTACGTTTTTTCTTTTAAAAGAAAACAAAGGTAGGTGAATAAGAAAGTACCAGAATTCAGAAAGAATTTTGACTTTCCATTTCCTTTTCCTCATTATAGGCTGCACCTGTTTAGCTATCTTTTCAAGAATCCTCCTTGCTTCATCTTCTCCAATTCTCTTGAGGGGTTTAATTTCCCAAACCTTGTTAAGATCATTAAGATCCATGCTAAACAGTAAGGAAAAGTTCTTGACCCTGCTTCTGCAGCAATCACTAAAGCAATGAATGACAAACTCTGCTTAAATTATTCAGAAGCAACAACCTTCACTTTAAAATGAAAATTAATACATCACTTAACCTCAGAAGCCACATTAATTCAAGGCTAAAGGTGGAATGGAAACCCAAATTTTCCATTTAACCAGCTCAGATTGTAACAACAAGAGGTTGCTATAGAGATCCAAGGAGCAAGAATACATATAAAGGACATAAGACAGGATTTAGTCATGTCATGTCTAATGTGATTGTTGGCTACATGTTAGACACAATATGGCTTCTTCTTTTGTAAGAATCAGTGCTTCATAACAATAAATGAAAAGGAAAGAAAATCCAAAAGACTACTTGACATTTCTCTGAAAAATACTATCGAGTAATAAACCTCAATAGCATAACAGAGTTCAACCCACTAAAATTGAACCCATTAGTGTAAATTTGGTAAATGAATAGGACTGCAATACAAGTAAGAATCAGTTATCACATAGGCTCAAGCCAGAGCGTAGACACCCAATATAAAGAACAAAGTTCCGCCCACACTCAACATCCCAGGCTTTCCACTTCTTTGGTTGGAGGGGTTGAAGAATTCTACATAGCAAGTTCAATCCAATCCTCAGGCTCAGCTATATCTTAAATCCTCATAATGAAAAGGTTACTAGGAAAGAAAGATGCATCCAACTGAGTTTGTAAAATTGATGATAGAGAATTGAAGGACACTCACCGCAATACAAAAACCTTGTCGACGATGAAAGGCCAGGAGGCTTGAAGATTTGATCGCAATCCGATGATTTTATGCTTTGTTTTATTTCGCCGATGCAAATCACGGCACTGGGAGCGAGAGATTCGTTTTCTGATCTTAATTAGTATTTGACCTTTGTGGTGGACAAAATAGTCATCGTATAATTATAAAATTCGAAAATTGGATGTTCAACGAAGTTCGTGTATTATCTACATTACATGATTTTTGGCAATAATAATAGGAAAAATAAAAATAGTTATAAAGGATGAGACGGAAAGGATTATCTAGACTGCAGAAGACAAAAATGGAAGCTGGGTCTTGCGGAAAGAAAATAGGAGTGAAAAAAAAAACAAAAAGAAATTTCGATTTTTTCTTTTAAATGTCCTCTTCCAAGATTTAAGCTTTGATTTGTGTTTTAGGAGGATTAGTTGTTCTCGCTAAATCAAGAATTTTTAAATAGTATCTCTTAATAAATTAATTAAATATTTATTTATCGTTATGTAATAGAATATTTTACTTAAAAATAAATATAAAATAATTTATTTATTAAGTATAAACTTTGAAAAAACTCATTAATTATATATTGAAATATTTAAAATGTCTTATATTTTTTAACATTTAATTTTAATATATATATATAAATAAAATATTAATGGAAATGATACTTTCAAATGGATGCTTCAAGCTAATGCACAATTTACAATTTCTTTTATGTATAATGTCCTTCAAAGTGCTCGTACCGAAGCTAAAGAGCAGATTTGGAATATTGTGTGGAAATGGAAGGGCCATTAAGGATTCAAGTTTTCATGCGGATGGCTTTACACAAGAGGATTATGACTGCACAACAAAACAAAATCTTTGGCTCTTCAATGTTGTATGATATATGTGCCTTTGAAGTGGAAGATGTTTTAGACATTCTAAGAGATTGTAAGATTGCTCAATTTATTTGCAAAAAATTAATCCTTACTGAAGAGTGGACTTTATTCTGGCAAGTGAACAAATGTGGTTGGTTTTATTGAAATCTCAATAGCAAGATGCATCATGAGTTTTCTCCTTAGGATATTGTTTTTGGGGATATTATCCAATCTCTTTAGAAGTATTATAATGATCATATTTTCAATAATACAAACTCTAATCCTATTGAGTCAGTTAAGAAGATCACGAGCTTCGCAAACTTTGTGCATAATAGTTTGTTTATGAGTGATTTTTATTGTGTACTTTTGACTCAAACAAAAGTTAGGCAGGAATGTCCACCTTATGGGTGGGTTAAACTAAATGTGAATGGATCAGTGTAAGGGCATATCGAACGAATAGGATGTAGGAGCTTGTTTTAAAATGAGGATGGAAATTGATTGGCTAGTTTCATGTGTGACTTGGGATGTTGCTCTCCCTTAAAAGCTTAGTTGTGAGCATTTATCATGGCTCAAGATTTGTGAAGAAACTCATTATGGAAAGTGATTTGATTCCTATTTGCCAACAATTGCAAGATTTCTTAAACACAGTCAAATTGAACATTGGCAGTTGAAACATGGTGTTAATTTTCTAAATGATGACGCTGAGATTTTGGTCAAATATGTGTTAAGAGATGATAATGTTTGTGTGAATTAACTTACAAATAAGAATGTGAATCGAGCTGATCCATGCATGGTAATGGAAATGCTTCTTAATAAGATTATCTCTTTAACGAATCAAGATTTTTAGGAAATTTCAGTTTGTATCCAGAATTTTGAAAAGATTTTTTTTTTTGGCTATAATTTGAATTTTCTAATTTTAGGAGGATTACAAATGCACAGAAAAGGTAGATTTAGGAAACCATAAATCCAACTCAAATGAGGTTAAGACTAGGATTTAGCCCATAAAGACTCAAGCTCATTATTTTTTAATTATTTTTTTTAAATTAGTACATACTCATTTGATCTTATTTATAAGTTATTTTTAATATGTTTTAACAGAATTAAAAAAATCCTTAAAACTTAATTCTATTTAAAAATTTAATAACTTTTTAACTTTATTCATATTAAATATATAAAATTACAAATGTCATTAATATATTTTTTCCACCAATATTTAACGAGGATAAAAATTTAAAGATTAAATAATAATATAAAATCTAAATTATAGGATCAGGACCTATTTCAATTTTGAAGTTGATTTTGATACATTTTAGAATCAAAACGATCACATTTGTAGCAATCTCATCCTCATTGTTGTCATTGAATTTAAATAAACGTTGTGCCTCAACACATTGCAATTACTCTCTCTCTCTCTCTCTCTCTCTCTCTCTCGCGCGCGCGCGCGCAATCGCTTGACTGCATCAACAACGCTAAAGTTCTGGAGCTGGATCCTTTTCAATTTCAGCATGAAAATTATGTTTGTAAAATACTCTCCCGTTTTAAAAAATATAAAATATTTTTTAAAGAATTGAATGATAAAAAATATAAAGTATTTTTAGTTTTTAAAATATAATTATTGTCTTTTTTTTTAAAGTATCCCTATTGATAATAATTTTATATTTATTAGAGAATATTTAGTTGAAGTAATATGAAAAGATAGAATTAATTTAAAAATAAATAATTATTTTATTAAAAAATAAGATTTGTATAAAAATATGAAATATTTTTAAATGGAAAATAAGGTCTAATCTTTTGATGACTTAATCGTTTTTCTTCATCCTTTGTGAGTCTTCCTAATGACTTCACATTCAGGGAACCTGGGATAGGAACAATAGTACCATACAGCCCCTTGGCAATGGAATGTTTTTTTGGAGGCAAGGCTGTCATAGAACGCTCACTCGCTGAAAGCATTCTGGCATTAGTGGCATTAACATTGGACTTAGAAATTATTTCCAGAAGAGTATCATGGATGTGACATAATAATAAATAAAACTCTTTAAAATCTAAAATATCAATTTAGACAATGAGGATTGAAATAAAATTAATTTAAATAATGAAAATATTGAACTAACCTTTGTTTAAATATTTTTTTAAAAAATAGTGCTCAAATTTACATGTAACATTAGGAAATTAACAATTAAAATTGATAAATTAATAATTGAAGTTACTTCATAGATACTAGTTGTGGATTTAAATTCGTTGACTGTATTTATTATAAATGTTAAGTTTTGGTACCATTTAAATTGTTAAAATTTAAATCAATAGTTATGAATTTATATTCTACTTAAGATTAATGAATGAGTAAGTTTATTTGAACCATTAATTTAAATTTTAATTATTTAAAATGTCTGTACTAAGTATAATTACCGAATCTAAATTGACTAGTTCAATCCTTATGAAGCAACTTTAGTTATTAGTTTTCCAACTTTATTAGTTAATTTTCCTACGCAACTTGTAAATTACTTTATTTAATTTGATAATCATTGATTTATTCCATCAATTTATTTGGACTTATGAAGCAATAATAATTGTTAATATCACAATTTTATTTATTAATTCTCCAATATTACTTATAAATTAGACTTTTAATTTAAAAAAAATGAAAAGACTTGTTCAATTAATTTATTTAAATTTTAGTAACTTTAATTATTAATTTCTCAACATTACATGTAAATCTGACAACTACTTTTTCAATGTTTAAATAGATGTTATTTCAATCTCTTCATCATTTAAATTAATTTCATTTCATTCCTACTGACTTGAAATTTTAAATTTTAACCTAGCTTATTATGTGTCACATCCTTGGCCATATCCTAAAATTCTCCCTTGCATTTATGTTTATAACGCCACCGCTGTATCTGCCGCCCCTTTACTCTGTGAACGCCAAGCATAATTAAAGTTCAAATTCTAAGACTCAATAAAATATCATGTTCGAAAACCATATTAAGCTCTGGTGGGACTATTGGGTAGAGGATTATGGACCCTTGAGATTTTTCTCTTTTGCTGAAATTAAAAGGATGATCTTATGAAGCCAATCTCAGAAGTTTATTGATACCCACAGTCATTGAGATGGAGTATCTTTAAACATTTATTGCCAAGCAATATTCTTACTTAGATTGCTAGCACCTCTGTCAACTTAACTGATGCAAGCCCTCCTTTGTGCTCTTAAAACTTTACTGATACTGGCAAATTACTATTAAATCAACCTATACTACAACTCAACTCAATTATTGAAATTTAACTAACGTGACCTATTTCTAAAGTGTAGAAGCTACCGATAGCTCAGAGGTTTATACTTTTATTTGGTTAATGCTCAAGAGTAAACTCCTCACTAATTCGAAACAATTGAGAAGAAAGATGACCCTGGCCAAGGTTGCTCTTCATGCAATTCTAATGTTGAAAATATCAATTATGATCTCAGAGATTGCCATTTTACTACATTTGTCTAGAAAAAAATATTTCAACCAACATTTGCACTGATTTTTTTGGCAAAAATTCACAATCTTGGTTCAATTTTGGTTTATAAAGTGCCTGCATAATTTTCAACTGGATATTTCTTGAAAGATTGAACTAAGTATTACTTGCTAGAAACTTTGAAATATAAGGAACAGACGCATTTTCATTGATGAAGTTTTTATCCCTATCAGTGTTTTTTTCTAGATTAGTGTTATTGTTGATCACACTTTGAGATGCTTTTTTCCTTATACATGTTTGATGTAATTTTCTGAGTTTTGCCTTTTAGTATATCTTTTTGAAATCTTGTACAATTTTTTCCTCATAGCTATTGAATTTTCCCATTACACTAAAAAAAAGTAAAATATCCTGCACAAAATTAGAAAGATACAATTACATAAAATAAATAAATTTTACCTTTCAGAAAACATAAAATTTAGTGACATTTTTTAAAAATATAAATTCATTTAATAAAAAAAAGGTCCAAAGTTGTTGGCCCCAATCTTTTTGGGCTCGGCAGTAAGCCATTAATAGGCTTAAACCATAAGCTTTATTTATCAATTTAGAGTCCATCATTAAAAAAGAGAATTATATACAAATTTCACTCAATAAAATTAATTATTCTTAGATTTATTCATTAAAAACTGAGCTTAGTTAAATTGTTAATATTTTAAGCTCAGTTGCCAATGAATGTAAAAGTAATTAATTATACTAGGTAGGACCTCAAAGTAATTCTTCTTTATTAAAACCTGGCCCTTGCAAGAAATATAAGCCTACTCTACAAAAAGCTGGATTAAATATACATCTTGTTGGAAAAAAATAACTCATTAAGATTAACATTTTCAATTAG